CGCGATGTATTCGGTCATCCCCATGAACTCGTCGTTCGTAGGGAATGGGGGTGTGCGTTGCGCCACAAGGTGGCTAACGGTCTCTGCGGCATTGCGCAGACCAAACAGGAGCGCTGTCGGGGCGCTCCGGATGAGGTATTCTATGGAGAGCAGCTCTCCTCTGACAAGCTGCGTCATGACATTGGCAAACGAGTAGGTGAGGCGGTGTAGGTCCTCCCGGGATGGTTGGGGTCCTAGGAAGGCGCTGAGCTGGCGCTCTAGGCTTCCGTAATCGAAGCCGAGGAGCTGGTCGCTCCCGAGGGCATGGGCCTCCGGTGCGTGTAGCTACAGCTCCTCAAGCGCCTCGGCGATCGTGTCGAGGCTGGCGGAGTGGAGAGGTTGGATAGCGGCAGGAACCTGCGCCAACTCTCCCTCCATCGTAATGATGAAGTCCAGGCTCTCGAAGCGCACGTGCGCGCTCGGGACCCAGCTGACGCAGTGACTAGCCATCCAAGGCCTGATGTGGACGTCGAGACTCACAAAAAAGCCCCTACCTAGCGCGCCAACTGTCGGTGTTTTTGGACCACCAATGAGTAAATTTATATTTACACGTCTGGCTCGGATGGTGTGCTCGGAGGACATAAGGTTTATACTGGTTCGAGCAGAACATCCCTACGTCCAGTTTGCTGCTGCTCATATTACCGACACTTGGTTTACAGTAGGGGTTACAAACAAGCGAGAGAGGGAGAGGATCCCAAGTCTATGGTGGAAGGAGTGAATGGGTGCTGAGAGCTCGATTGTCGCTCAGCCATGTGCTCGTGTTGTGCTCTTGTGTTCCGATCTCCCCAGCGTAGGGCGCCCTGCTTCCCCTTTTATAGGCGAAGGGAAAAGCGCGGGTTTTAGAGAAGAAAAAAGAGAAGAACGAGAGAGAAGAAGACTTTCAGGGTTGTCGGGTCCTTCTTCTCCTTCATGCGGGTCCCGCTGATCCTGTAGATGTCAACAGGGACGGCTCCATGTCGTGGCCCTGTTCGACACTGGCGCCATGCGCAGGCGTCATCTACCGGTTATGGTGTTCCACTCCGTCCCAACGGACGTCGTGATGAACTGACGCACTTGTCAGTGTCCGTACGAGGATTAGGCAGAACAACACCGGCACGTCCGACACTGTTCTTGATGTGAATTCCCAAATATGGGCCGTCATGGCCACAGGTTACACTGAGATGTGCCAGCCTCTTCCCTGGCGTCAGAGTTTTGACCCAGACGCATACGCTTGGACCTGGAGTGGTTGGCGGCAGTATGGGTCCTCGTTGGGCGAGACGGAGCCCGCGTCCTCGAGGCCGGGCGAGACAAAAAACCGCGTCCTCGAGGTCGAGTGAGACGGAGCCCGAGGTTGGGCGAGACGGAAACCGCGTCCTTGGGGTCTAGCGAGATGGAGCCCACACCCAAGTGAAAGGTCCTAATGGCTAGAGGGGGGATGAATAGCCTAATAAAATTCTACAACAACACTTAACAAAATGTGTTAGACAATTTTGCGGCGAAGCGAGTGTTGCGCTAGCCTACTAAAATGCAAACCACCTACCACAATTCTATTTTGAATAGTGTAGTCCACACAATAGCTATGACACTTAGCTAAATTAGTGTGCTCTCAAAGACTAACTAAAGAGCAACACTAATCAAACAAACAAGCTCTCACAACTAGCTACACTAAAGAGCTTAATAACTAGTTTGCGGTAATGTAAGAGTGAGCAAGAGAGTTATACCGTCGTGTAGTGGTAGGAACCAATCAATCACAATAATGAATACCAATGTAGACCAATCACCTCGGAATCAAATGATGAACACAATGATTTTTACCGAGGTTCACTTGCTTGCCGGCAAGCTAGTCCTCGTTGTGCCGATTCACTCACTTGGAGGTTCACGCGCTGATTGGCATCACTCGCCAAACCCTCAATAGGGTGCCGCACAACCAACACAAGATGAGGATCACACAAGCCACAAGCAATTTACTAGAGTACCTTTTGGCGCTACGCCGGGGAAAGGTCAAGAACCCCTCACAATCACCACGATCGGAGTCGGAGACAATCACCTCCTCCACTCAACGATCCTTGCTGCTCTAAGCCGTCTAGGTGGCGGCAACCACCAAGAGTAACAAGCGAAATCCGCAGCGAAACACAATCACCAAGTGCCTCTAGATGCAATCACTCAAGCAATGCACTTGGATTCACTCCCAATCTCACTATAATGATGAATCAATGATCTAGATGAGTGAGAGGACTTTGGCTAGGCTCACAAGGTTGCTATGTCAATGAAAATGGCCAAAGATATGAGCCACGACCGACCATGGGGCTTAAATAGAAGCCCCCACGAAATAGAGTCGTTGTACCCCTTCACTGGGTACTCTGCGCTCTGACCGGACGCTCCGATCCACTTGACCGGACCCTGGACTCAGCGTCCGGTCCACAGATGGACGCCACGTGTCATCGGCTTCAAACGCTGGTCGTCAGATTCCAACGGCTATGACGCTGACCGGACGCTCCGGTTAAAACTGACCGGACGCTGGAACCTCAGCGTCCGGTCGAGTACAGTAAGGGTCAAAACCTGGTTTTCCTCGACCGGACGCGTCCGGTCCACCTCGACCGGACACAGCCCAGCGTCCGGTGGTAAACCCTAGCCACTGTATCGACAGTCAACGCGACCGGACGTAGGCAGTCAGCGTCCGGTGCTTCTAGATTTAGCGTCCGGTCACTGGACCGACGCTGGCATTAGCTCTGTTCTCACTTCTATCTTCTCCACCCTTGCTCCAATGTGCCAACCACAAGAATTTGCATCCGGCGCAATAGAAAATAGGCATTCCATTTTTCCGAAACCAGCTCGGCGGGAGGGAGAGAGGGACCCAAACCCATCTCAACCCTGCAAACACCACCTCCTTTGTAAATGTGCCAACACCACCAAGTGTATCACCTTGTGCACAAGTGTTAGCATATTTTCACAAATATTTTCAAGGGGTTTAGCACTTCACTAGATCCTAAATGCATATGCAATGAGTTAGAGCATCTAGTGGCACTTTGATAACCGCATTTCGATACGAGTTTCACCCCTCTTAATAGTACGGCTGTCAATCCTAAATGTGATCACACTTTCTACGTGTCTTGATCACCAAAACAAAATAGCTCTTACAAATTATACATTTGCCTTGAGCCTTTTGTTTTTCTCTTTCTTCTTTCCAAGTCGAAGCACTTGATCATCACCATGCCATCATCTTTATCATGCTATGATCTTCATTTGCTTCACCACTTGGAGTGTGCTACCTATCTCATGATCACTTGATAAACTAGGTTAGCACTTAGGGTTTCATTAATTCACCAAAACCAAACTAGAACTTTCACCAAGGGTTGGGCAAGACGGAACCCGCGGCCTTAGGGTCGGACGAGACCTTTTAATACGTCTCAAGCCATCCGGGGTGCGCTGACTTCCTTGCTTTGGGTATCCTAATATCGATACCCGACAATCCGTTTCCATATACTCAAATTTGGATATATATATATATATATATATATATATATATATATATATATGATACCAATATATATTCATATCTTATCCTAAGTATTCGTAACTAAATCCAAATATGAGGTTTACTATTCGTAGTAGGTATATATACCCCCTTTGGTTCAATTTATAAGGCATAGTCTAACATGACATAGTCTTATATATTATACTTTGACTATTCATTTATTTTTTATTATATTATTTATGGTTATGAACTTAGGATTATTGGATAATATATCTGATTACAAATCTAATAGTATCAAATTATACTACAATAGATAAAAAATATTAGATAAATTATTGGTCAAAGATGATAAAGTTTGACTCTTTAACATTAACGAAATAACATATGAACTATACTGGAGGGAGTATTATATAACCCCTAATACAAGGAACCAAACATATCTTATATAGGCTTGATTCGATTTTTCTTTGGCTGGTCTCATATAATAAAATAGGATAATACTCTCATTTTTAAATTATAAGTTGTTTAACTTTTTTTTAAGGTACATAGTTTTTACTACTTATAATTTGGACTAAAAAGGGAGTAACTAAGAGCAACGTTGTCGTCAGGTTAGAATTCTACTCAGAGCTTACATGCTGAAGTGCTCACTCTAAGTGCATGGCTAATAATATAGCCGGTTGTTGGCTGCAAGATCCTTGCAGTCCACCTATACAATAATTAGCTCTTCAACATTAATACATAGTCCACCCGGCCTTTTCACATAATTTCTCGATTCATGTGTCCAAAGTCGGTTATAAGCTTACAACCTATTTTTCCTCTCTCTCCTCTCCTCTACATCATTATTCAGCCTACTTACAACCTACTGTTATACTTGCTCTAATACATATCTTAGCATCTTATTATTGGCCTGGGAGTGGACCTTAGCTCAAATCTCAATGTACATTAACTCTGTTATTAATGGATCTAGAACTCCCAGTAATAAGGTAGCAAACCTGACTTCTGATTAGACGCCCTTCTGGAAATCATATGACCAGAAAAGTGTTTTTGGTGTCATAAGGCATGGGCTAGAATAACTTTTGTCGGCAATAATGAACGTGTGTCTGATTTTTTTTTTCATCTCAGGACAACTAGTATCGCATAGGATCTGAAACGGGGAAAAAGGCGCGCAGAAACTTGAGTTGGACTCAACCGGCCGCTTGATGGTGTCAAACCGACGGACGCACCAAGACGTGGGTTAGCTCGCGGACCAATACGCTCCGTCGCCACCTTCCACCACCCGACCTGAAAACGCCATTCGAGGAGTCCAGGCCAACCCGCCCCGACCCAGGCCGGTCCTTCAGATCTCCCCTCCCTCCCTCTTCCTTGTCCGTCTCTATTAAGCAGCAAGCAAAGCGCCACTCGCAATCCACCCTCAGGCCTCGCTCAGATCTCTCCGCCCGCGTCCGCGTCCCTCCTCCCACCCCAAACCCTCGCCCGCCTCTCTCGTCAACGCCGCCCGACGAGAGCGATGGCGGCCTCGCCGGCCCGGCCGCGGCCGCGGCGCCTCGTCCTCCTCACCCTCGCGGCGGCCAGCGGCGTGGCGGCCGACGGCTCCGACCACCGGTACAAGATGAACGAGCCCGTCCCGCTCTACGCCAACAAGGTCGGCCCCTTTCACAATCCCAGGTGAGGCCTCGCCCTTCAGATCCCTGTCGTGACGAATGGTTCGTGGGTGCTGGGGAGGGATCGGATGGGATGTGCGGATTGTTCCTGCCCGATCTCTTCGGGTGGGGTTTGTGCCACTTCGGTCAACGGTTTGTGCCACTTCGGTCAACGCCGACAGGTTTCCGAGATCTAGGAGACAAAACCCGGGAATTGTAATTGATTCAGTAAACTGTAATAGGGAGCGAGTGGAATTGCAATTGATTCAGTAACCTTATTAATTGATTCAGTAACCTTATTAGGACCTTCTCGTAGGGTTTAATTTGCTTCTTATTGGGCCTGTATAGGTATAGTGCCAACTTATGAATTTTACAGCCTGTCTGCATCGAATATAATTTCTCGAGCTTATGAATTTTACAGCCTGTCTGCATCGAATATAATTTCTCGAGCTGTGAATCTGTTACTGTTAGTCGTTGGATCTGTGGTAAAGGAGAACAATACTCGTACAGGCTAATATAGGTTATACAGTTGATGGGTTGCCGTTCTTACATTGTTGCTTTTCCTTGCAGTGAGACATATCGTTACTTCGACCTGCCTTTCTGCTCTCCTGGTCAGTTTGTGTTAATTTCAAGTCTTTTGCTCATTACCGAGGTAGCAATGATTAGTTTCTCAAAACCTGTACTATGCTAATCAACTGTATCCACTGCAGAGAAAGTGAGGGAGAAGAGTGAGGCCCTTGGCGAGGTCCTCAATGGGGATCGGTTAGTTGATGCGCCTTACAAGCTTGATTTCCGTTTCGAAGTTGAGTCCAAGGCGGTTTGCTCAAAGAAGCTTACCATAGAGGATGTAGTGAAGTTCCGGAATGCAGTAGCTAAGGACTACTACTTCCAGATGTACTATGATGATCTCCCACTGTGGGGGTTCATTGGTAAAGTTGAGAAGGGAGGCAAGGCCGATCCGGCGAGTGGAAATACTACCTATACAGGCACATCATCTTGATATCCTATACAACAACGACCGGGTGATCGAAATCAATGTGCACACTGATCAGAGTGCGTTGGTCGACCTGACGGAGGATAAGGAGACCAATGTGGAATTCCTGTACTCAGTCAAGTGGAAGGAGACGCCAACACCATTCGAGAAGAGGATGGAGAAGTATTCCAGCTCCTCCAACATGCCTCACCACCTGGAGGTTCATTGGTTCTCAATTATAAACTCTTGTGTTACTGTCCTCCTCCTCACAGGGTTCCTTGCAACAATCCTCATGCAGTATTGAAGAATGATTTTGTCAAGTAAGGGCCTCCCATCTTCATTGTCTGTGAATATGAGTAATTGCATTATTGTTGATTTATAACCATTTCTATCATAAACTGTAACACACTAAAAATTTCCATTTCCGTTCAATCGTTGCCTTAAATAGAAAAAAACGCAATTGCCCTATAATTTGTTTTCTCTTACCGGAAGTCAGGTCCAAGGGCTTAGAGTTTTTGTGATACATTTAAATTACTACAGTATTTTTCGACATCTATTTCTTTCAATATATTCTGCTACTTCATGGATAGCACATCCAACCAAATAATATTTCATCTCTATATGTTTTGGACTGGAGAAATTGTTTTCCATATATCATAGGCAGTAAAAATCCTTAATGCCTGTACTCATGTGCCTGTATATATGTTGGTAATTTATATTATGCATTAAGTAATTAGCATTTTTTTGGGTGGAACTGATTTCATCTTAGTTGAACATTCTTCAACAAACTCGTATCTCCCATTTACCAAAATGAAGCATTGGCCTAATTTAAGTTACTCATTGGTCTTTTTGAATGATGTCCTCTAATCATGTCAATTCATATTACAATAAGAAAATGCTTGGTTTAATACAAATGATGACCCACCAAGAAAGTATGTTGAACCTATCCGTTGTGTCCTGTTTAAATCATGTCATTCACCGATAGTGCACAAAATGTGCTAGCAACTTAGCATGATATAATTCAGTTGCATATACATCTGTATGTTTATTTAAATTCAGTTGCATATACATCTGTATGTTTACTTTAGACTCTACATTTTCACTTTGAAGGTATGCTCATGATGAAGAAGCAGCTGATGACCAGGAAGAGTCTGGATGGAAGTATATCCATGGTGATGTCTTCCGGTTCCCAAAGAATAAGTCGCTATTTTCCGCTGCTCTTGGCACAGGAACTCAACTATTTGCCCTGTAAGTTACTGTGGCTATTTTCTCTCTCTATATATAATATTTGCATGGCTGAAATTATTCCACCAGCTCATTGTTTTGTCAAGAATATATCTAACCATCTTTTCTGTGGCACCTCTGCAGCACAACCTTTATATTCCTTCTTGCACTTGTTGGAGTATTCTACCCTTACAACCGTGGTGCACTATTTACTGCATTGGTTGTCATCTATGCACTCACTTCAGGAATTGCTGGATACATTGCTACCTCTTTCTATTGTCAGCTGGAGGGGACAAACTGGGTATGTACTGCCTTCACCTTATGTGTATGTGACCAAATTGAAATAGTATTTTCTTTAATGGTAGTAATGTTGCATTTTGCCTCCATCTACAGGTGAGGAACTTGCTATTGACAGGATGCCTGTTCTGTGGACCTCTCCTCCTGACATTTTGCTTCTTGAACACTGTTGCTATTGCTTATAGTGCAACAGCAGCATTGCCCTTTGGCACTATCTGTGTCATTGTGCTCATCTGGACCTTGGTCACATTTCCTTTGCTTGTTTTGGGAGGTATTGCTGGTAAAAACAGCAAAAGTGAATTCCAAGCTCCTTGCCGTACCACAAAATACCCCAGGAGATTCCTCCACTTCCTGGTACCGAGAACTATTCCACAGATGGCAATGGCTGGGTTTTGCCTTTCAGTGCCATATACATCGAGCTATACTACATCTTTGCTAGTGTTTGGGGCCACAGGATTTACACAATCTACAGCATTCTGTTTATTGTCTTTATCATCCTCCTTATTGTCACTGCATTCATCACTGTTGCACTGACATACTTCCAGCTTGCTGCTGAAGACCATGAGTGGTGGTGGAGGTACACTATTTTCCTCTAAATCTTGCTTTCGAATGAATACTTACATGAGTGTGTTGATGCTCCTTAAAAAAAGAATAACATGGAAAGGAAATTTATCAATTGAGTAGCAGATTATATTTTACCAAATCTATTATATCACTATAACCTACTACATGCCTAGAAGCAATTCTTGTGGTCGGTTTATCTGAAATTTATCGGTTGAGTAGCAGAGTTATATTTTATTAAGTCTATTATATCACTATAACCTACTTCAACTTGTTGAGAGCGTAGAAGCAATTCCTGTGGTCGGTTTATCTTTTTGCCACACTAATAGGCTTCCTGATTAGTCCTCCCTTTAACAAATTTGTCACTGGAGGTAGTTAAGCAAAATGTCACGCAGAGCATCTATTATCTGAATGACATAAGAAGTCAGCTGCTGAAATCTATTGTAGCACTGAATTCAGTTATGTGATACTATGTGTGTAGAGTGTAGACTGCTTTTAAAACGCAAAATGGTTGATCGAACAAGTATCCTGACCCTTTTAACATTTTGGGTCAAATGCAGCGCTGATTTGTTTATGCTGCAGGTCATTCCTATGCGGAGGATCAACTGGATTTTTCGTGTATGGCTACTGCCTGTACTACTACTATGCGCGATCAGATATGTCTGGCTTCATGCAGACATCTTTCTTCTTTGGCTACATGGCCTGCATCTGCTATGCATTCTTCTTGATGCTTGGGATGGTGGGCTTCCGTGCGGCCTTGTTCTTTGTCCGCCACATATACAAATCTATCAAGTGTGAGTGAGCTGTTGTTGGAAGATGAAGAGCAGCAGAGTTGTACCCGTTTTTGGTGCCAACTGAGAAGTCTCAAATATAGAAAAGGTTAGCTCTCGCGTGCAACAGGAGCAGCTAGAGATTGCCATGTTTCAGATTAGGCCATTATTTATAGGAACAGGTAATGAACCTATAAATTTGTTCTGTTTTTGTGACTGCTGTGATAAAAATCGTCTTTTCCTTCGTCCTATGTATTATCTCCTAGTGACGTCAGACAGTACTATAACTTTGTTGGAACCGTGACATGCCTGAATATCTGTGGAATACCCATGTTATGTTGTCATATATATTCTCTAAAGCATATAATAATAATAGAAGTGTAGAGACGATGCCTGAGGCAGGTCCATTTGTATGTGTATCATTTTCTTTCTTGTTCATTGTGGAGTGTTGGAATTATACAGTACTCCTGTCGCGTATTTGCATTATTACTTTCAGCGATGCTTTCTTAGGAGATGATTGTGGATCAAACACCCTATAAGGCTATAAACGTTTTAAATGTTTTTTTTTAATGTTACCTACCGTCTGCTCATCACCGTATTTCCATATAAGCAGGCCCCAAAAAGCGAGAACCTGGCTCGACTGAGCACGCTTCTCTGGCACGTTGTATTCTTCTGGGTATGGTACCAATTTGGTTTATGCTTAGACACGTGAGAGAAGCTCGCGATTAAGGAGCTGAAACGCTATGGCTCGGCGGTCAAGAAAATGGTGCAGCCGCAACCTTGCAAGTTGCAATGCAACTCTGGTTGAGGCTTTGCTAGTCGCTACTCGGTACTATGTACTACCGCTGAGGCAGTTCAGGGGCTGTTTGATTGCAGCTCACCGAGATCGCACCCTGACAGACAGCTCGCCAACCAGGCAACAATCACAGCACAACCAAAGGTTCCTATCGGATAGGAATGCCGGAGTGGCGAGTGTTTGTCGCATGCGGTGCGGCGTGCTTACGAGATGATATAGTCCGCGACGCTGACGCAGCGCGGGGGCGCGGGGGCGCGGGGACGGACGGCATGAACGTGCCCAGTGTCTCAGGTCTCAGCGATACAACAAAACCGCATGGTGGCATGATCTGCGCCTCTCCCGGTGGTGAGTGCCTGAGTGGTGACCATCGCTGTCTCTTTTCCCTTCTGCACCAAACCTGCAAGGAGTATTTTGTACTGATCCGTCACGGCTTCCATGAAGGGCCAGCGAGGTGGACGGAGGTCGCGTGACCGACTGACCGTTGCCGGCGACGCCAGCCCAAACCCACCAGGTCCCCACTCCCCAGCCGTGTCCGTGAGTATATCTGCCGTGCCCGCATGTGTGGCAGCCCAACACAACCGAAGTCAAGTCCGAGCCCGTAGGTGTCGACACCGCGCCGCGCGCCGCGAGGGTGTGGGTGGGGGGAACTGGGGACCATGAGCGCGGCCGGGCGAGCCCCGTGCGGCCTGCCGCGCATCGGCCTGGGCACGGCGGTGCAGGGCCCGCGGCCGGACCCCGTCCGCGCCGCGGTGCTCCGCGCCATCCAGCTCGGCTACCGCCACTTCGACACGGCCGCGCACTACGCCACCGAGGCGCCCATCGGGGACGCCGCCGCCGAGGCCGTGCGGACGGGCGCCGTCGCCTCCGCGGGAGCTCTTCATCACGTCCAAGGTCTGGTGCGCCGACGCGCACCCGGATAGGGTGCTCCCGGCCCTCCGCCGGACGCTCAGGTGCGTGCGCTGGTTCCTCTTTCCTTGTTCTGCCGCGGCTTGGGTTTCGCTGCCGCGATTGCTGCGTCTGAGATTTACATGCTCTTTGATTCGTGCACGGATGGACATGGATCGTGAATGGTATGCTTGGTTAGTTTGATTCAGATTTGGGATAGGAAGTGGGACTCTGTTTCAAGTTTAGACGTTGTGCTCGATAACTCGTTTACACTACACTAGTACACTACATCATACGCGACAGTCCTTTCTTTATCATAGGGACAAGACGGGGATATATTTTTTGGGAAGTGTAGTTGGTGATTTTTAAGTGTAGTTAGTGATTAGTACTCCCAAAAATTTGCAAGGAAAATACTACTAGTATAATACATACTCCCAGTTCAAATTAAGGTTCTAGTGTCGATGTGTACTTTCAGGCTTTCAGCACACAACACAGAATCTAAGTCGGCTGCCTGACATGAATCTCTACTGGTTGTAGTTGGTAGTGGTTCCTTTGCTTGCTGCTTTTAGTGCCTTCCTGCTTAAACTGTAGTACTATGTTAGCAGTAACCCAAGAATTGATTTCAGTACAGTTGGGTGGAACAGTTAGATTGTAAACGTGGCTGCCAGCCTATATTGTCATACTCGATGGTGCAGGCGCTATTGTAATGTTTTTATCTGAGCTCTTTTTTACTCTCGTTTGAGACGTACTCGTACATAGAAGTACCATGCTTGCTGAATCAAAAAAAAAAGTACCATGCTTGCTAGTGTTAGGTCCAGTTTCGTGGACCTCCGGTTGGTTTTGGTTCTGGTTTCTTTCTTATCATGATTTGGTCTGACGGAGTTTTTTTAGGGAAAGCCATCATGACAACTTTATTAATTTAAAATAATAGTTACATCATCGGCTAATTGCGCCAAAATAAAATTTGGAGGATCTGACATTCTGACGGAGGTCGCAACCATCAATAATAGTCACATCATCGGCTAATTGCGCCAAACTAAAATAAAGTTTGGAGGATCTGACGGAGGTTATTATATCGGCGCAACCATCCATATGCAGCAATCTCCAGATGGAGTACGTGGACCTCTACATGGTCCACTGGCCCGTGACCATGAAGGCCGGGAGGTTCACGGCCCCCTTCACGCCCGAGGACTTCGAGCCATTCGACATGCGGGCCGTGTGGGAGGCCATGGAGGAGTGCCACCGCCTGGGCCTCGCCAAGGCCATCGGCGTCTGCAACTTCTCCTGCAAGAAGCTCGAGACCCTGCTGTCCTTCGCCACCATCCCTCCCGTCGTCAATCAGGTCCGCCCGGTCCTCCACTTACTTTCAGCCAACTCTCGCCATCTATATTCGTTGTAAATTAAACATGGATGGAGACCATTGGCAAGTTTATCTTTGGGGTAATAATATATAAATATAATGCAGGTTGAGATCAACCCAGTGTGGCAGCAGCATAAGCTGAGGGAGTTCTGCAGGGAGAAGGGCATCCAGCTATGCGCCTACTCGCCCCTGGGCGCCAAGGGCACGCACTGGGGCAGCGACTCGGTGATGGACTCCTGTGTCCTGCACGAGATCGCCAAGTCCAAGGGCAAAACCGTGGCACAGGCACGCATATATAGCATCCTCTCGCCAACCTAATATGTACGCACTGAAAGAAATGCCTGCCCTGGACACTCTCTAACTGATGCTCTCGCGATGGATGGATGGATGCAAACAGGTGTGCCTGAGGTGGGTGTACGAGCAGGGCGACTGCCTGATCGTGAAGAGCTTCGACGAGGGGCGGATGAAGGAGAACCTGGACATCGTGGGCTGGGAGCTGACGGAGGAGGAGAGGCAGCGCATCAGCAAGATCCCCCAGCGGAAGATCAACCAGGGCCGCCGCTACGTCTCCGAGCTGGGGCCGTACAAGTCCCTCGAGGAGCTCTGGGACGGCGAGATACAATACAAGTAAACGTCCGCGCTGCCAGGCTGCCATGCATGACGGATCGATCGACGAGCTCCCCGTCGTGACAAGGAGTGGCTCGTGCTCAACAATGGTTTTTTTTATGTTGTTTCCATCTGCGACAAAAATGATGATGCTTTAGTGTGCAGCTGGGCGTGAAATAAATTAAAGGATTATAGTAAGCACCGTGAATTTATGGTATGGTACCGATCCGACGGAGATGCTGGATGGTGAACATCCTTTGCGCGGCAGGAGCGACGAGCGCAGCAGACCTAGCGCCAGCAAAACCGATCGAAGTAGCAATAGCTAGCACAAGTCACACGAAAACCTCGATCATTTGCGCGCGCGGCACCTAGCGCCAGCAAAATTAAACCGACCGAACTAGCAATAGCTAGAACATGGCACACGAAAACCTGTAGTTGTCCCTCTCGAAGAACCGAATGTAGAAGTACACGGCATATCGAACAAGGCAACAAGTCAACAACCACATGCTGCAAAAACGCGCGCTCGCACTTGTGACCTGCGGCCACTCGGCCTCCCCGTTGACGGCCCCGCTTTCCTGGCGTCTCCGCGACCCGCTCGATCCTCTCGCAAGCACTGATCAGCCACGGCTCATCATGATTCAAAAAAAAAAAAAAAATTCATGAGTAGCGACCTCACGGCCGGGAAGCCGCCGTGGGCCGGCCCAGGGCAGAGGGCACAGGGCCGAGCTTTCAGCGTTGGCTCGCCAGGCAACGGGCCGGGGTCGCTGCTCCTGCTCGTTGCAGGACCAGATGTCTGTTCTTCAGGGTTCAGGGTTCAGACTTGCGTGCCTGCTTACGTTGGTGCAACCAAAGGAACAACATAAAAAAAAAATCCGAGAAAAACAAAAGCAAGTTTGCAAGGCCGCGACGGTATCATTGCGCCATCACAGCTTTATGGAGTTGCTACTATATATCCCCGAGCATCGCCAAGCATGCCTAGATGCAGCATGCATGTCTAGATGCCTGCCGTGGTAGGACGTTGTCTAGCGAATATTTGCTTTCTAGCTTGGTCAAACAGCATTGTCAATCTTATCAGGGTAACATCATTTTCCCTGGATTATGATCATGGAGAAAAATGCTGGCATTTTAATTTGTTTATTTATTATGGCAAGGGAAAAACGTAAGTATTCGAATTTGTGTAGTGGCAACCATGGTAGTAAAGCTTAAGCGCGCAGGTCCCCAGGCGAGAAAGAGAGAGCATATTCTCTTCTCTGCAGTAAAAAGGGTCATGCCCAGTGTGTGTTTTCACAGAGCATTCAGCGCCGGATGAAATGGATGGCCCTGGCACTGGCACTGCCGGCGTGACCGTGCGGTAAAAAGCTGTTACACGTGAAGAACGCAGGCCAGGAGTAAAGGCGTTTTTTGGTTCCTTTTGCTAAAGGGAGGCCGGAGCGGGAGGCCATCCTGCATTCCTGCTGTTGCAATGCCCGCTTTTGCTGGGACGGAAGCACAAGCACTGATGCCAAGCCGACGAGTTGCAAGCAGTGCAACCTGCTACACCGGTCCAGTACCGTCAGCCTGGGCGTTCGGTTTTAACCGTTAATTCGGTTCGGTTTATTCGGTTATAAAAAACTTTGGTTTCCAGCCTACATCGTCCGTTCGGTTCTGCAGAAAACTGAAAACCGCAGAATTCGGTTTTGGTATTTTAATTCGGTTTTCGGTTTTAACCGAATTAACCGAGACATAAAACCCTAGCCCACCTCGGCTAAAATGCTCGCCTCGGTTATTCGAATTAAAAAAAACAAAAAAGAGAAAATTCTAAGGACAGGCCCGTCCTCGCGCCGCTGCCGCCGCCGCTCGCCGGATCAGGCCTCCCCACCATCGGATCCGGCCTCCCCGCCACCAGATCCGGCCTTGGGCCTTCGCAGGAGCGCCGTGAGCCCCCGACATGGCAGGATCTGCCGAGGCGCGCAGACGGCTACCACCTCGCGCGGATCTACCACCAGCTCACCGGATCTGCCACTCACCCATCGGATCCGCCACCCGCTCGCTGGATCCATGCCGCCAGGCCGAAGGGAGCTCGTCGGAGGGGCGGGCGTGGCCACCAGCTCACCACGCCACCACCAGGGCATCAGAGTCGGATGGGCAGGCGCGGCCACCCGCGCGCCGCCGTGGCATCGGAGGGGCGGGCGCTGTGCGCCGCTGCTCACTTTGGAGAGAGGGAGGGAGAGGATTGAGAGAGGGAGGGATGCACCGCCCCGCTGCTAGCTCTGGAGTGGATGGAGGGTTCGGAGTGAGAGAGGGAGGGAGAGACTGAGGGAGAGGAGGGATGCGCCACGCACTGCGCGCTCTGGAGATGCGCCGCACGGGTGAGGGAGAGGAGAGGGAGGGAGGTTGACGGGTGAGTGCCTGAGTGGGCTAGGGTTTCATCTCGGGTATATATATTGTAGTGTTTGTTCGGTTAATCAGTTCGGTTTGAGTATAAAACCGAAGCCAAAGCCGAACACCGAACAATGCAAAACTAGAAACCGAACCGCAAACCGAAAACCGAAAAAACCGACACTTCGGTTCGGTTCGATTCGGTTCTTGATTAAAAATGCCCAGCCGACAAGATTACCATGTCGGGGCCTAGATTATCCAATCTGAGGTTCTTTTCTCGGCACATAGTACTTCTAATAAAATTCTCATAAATTCTAGATAGATTATTCTCTGAGCTTTGCCATAAAGCAGTGCATGTCATTTCATCTAACAAAACTACAAAAGTTTAGATTATTATTCTGTAAAATCATTCGTTTTTTTGGTATCTCTTCTTTCTCGTGAACGAATCCTGGGACATTGGACCATTATACTTACAGATAGCTAGTTTGTTCTTTATATAAAAGATCGATTCCTGACGAAGAAAAACATGGGACGACTTGGATGAGTGGTCATGGTCTAACGTACACACATTTATATGGATGTATAGGCAACATGATCTGAGTGTTGTATATGGATGTATAGCCAACAAGATCTCAGGAGTGTTTAGATTTAAGAGTAAAATCATGGATAGTCCCTAAACTTGTCTTCATTTGTCGTCTAGCTGTCTGAGCTTGTAAATTACATTTTTAGGTCCTTGTTGAAACGTCCTACAATATCATCCAACAGGTCCCTAACATTCAAAATGTCAATTTTGGGCCTTAACTTACTTTGTGCCTCGATGTATCAAAGTCACTTTGGATCCGGCCCCCATGTCTTAGACTTTGACCAGTGAGTCCCACATGAGGGTTGGGGACTTGGGGTAGAGCCCACATGTAAATCTCTCTCTCTCTCTCTCTCTCTCTCTCTCTCTCTATGCACCAGATTTCATAGGGTTTGAGGACCCATTGATAATATATAGGAAGTCGACGATCTAGATTCCAGGATGACATCGTTATTGCCTTCATCGCCTCCACCTCGAATGCTATTACATCCCTAGTTGTGGAGGCAGCGAGGCTGAAACTAGTGCTCGATCCCTAAGTGAAAGAGCAAGGCAGATGACTACTTTGCTCAGGAGTTCCTGACCAAGTCAAGAATTAATGATTCGTGTATTAGACCACCAGTCCACCACCAAGCAAATCTTGCAATCAAGAAGTGCAACTATATATGCTATGCAACTATATATATATGCTATGTCTTAGGTTCCTCCGTGCCAAAATGTCTTAGGGTACAAAACTTTTTGCTATGCAACTACTTCCTCCGTTTTAAATTATAAGTCATTCCAATTTTCTTAGAGAGTCTAAGCATCTCAAATTTGACCAAAATTATAGAAAGAATTACATATTTATAATATTAAATATGTATATTATAAAAATAATTAATGAAGAATCTAGTGATACTTATTTGGCATCATAAATGTTATTATTTTACTATATAAATTTAAATCAACTTAAGATTCGTTGACTCTCCAAGAAAGATAGAATATAACTTATAATTTGGGATTGATGGAGTAATATATATATGCTATGGTGGAATCAGTTTAGTGCTTGCGTCACTGGAATCCTCGAGCATATAGCCGACCGACGGTGGTGTAGACGTCAGACGTGTAGTGTGGGGAGGGCAGGAGGCAAAGAAGTGCAACGGATGGCAACCACAGGCAAGGAAGAGATGCAATGAAGAAGCCCCCTTGCTTTCTGAAGATGACAAATTGGAGTGGAATCTCGTAGACACACTTGAGTCTTTTGACGTGCATGATCTCATTCATACCTTCACCAGGCCCAAGTTGCACGTTGTAGCACCCTAAAAACCAAGCGGGTGCGTGGTTGCATTCCATGCAGTAATGGCCACACGACACGATCGACAAGGCCGGCCTACATACGAATTAGCATAGCTAGCTCTACATACACAAACTCCAGCCGCGCTGTGCATGGCATGCACGAGTGGTGGAGCTAGATGCCAGCAGCTCCAAAGCCGCCGCCTCCTCTCATGGAGTCGCAGGCCACCGCGGGGCCGGCGTGTCCCTCGCCGCCGACCCTGGCGACGGCCACGGCGAGCGAGCGCTGGCGGCACGCGTGGCAGGTGACCTGCGCGAGCAGGAGCGCGGTGTGGTCCCTCAGAGCGCACGCCTTCTCGAGGTCGGCCCGGGCCCGCTGCCTGGCGCGGCGGGCCTCGTCCAGCGCGCGCTCCGCCGCCGCGGCCTCCCCGCGCGCCCGCTCCCGCGCCGCGTCCGCCGCGGCCTTCTCCTCCACCGCGCGCCGCAGTTCCTCCGCCTCGGAGTCCTCCTCCTCCTCGCCGACGGCGCCCGCCGACGCCGCAGCGTCGACTCCCGCCGTGACGGTGGGACCGATGGAGAGCTGCAGCTTCGTCGTCGTCGCCGCCGCCGCCGCCGCGTGGGGTTCTTGCTGCTGGGACGCGGTTGTGGTGGTGGTGGACAGAGAGGTGGTCGTTGTGCTAGTCAGCAGCGGCGCTGATGCCGCCGCTGAGGAGGCCGGGAGCTGGAGCACCGGTGGCGGCGGTGCCACCGTGGGCGGATGCCGCGGGACGGCGGGACGGATGACCGGGAGCGCCGTCGGCGGCACGGCCACCACCGCCTCGCCGCGCATCCGGCTGGAGTTGCACGCGTCCTGGTGCTCGATGAAGCTCTCCACCCTGCACCGAATAAAAGCAACATTATCTGCTCCTTCCTCGCTAACGTGGGTGGTTACGGTGATCAGATCAGTAGAGAGGCTGCATGTCGCTGTCACGAGTAGGGATCGTCACATGCGTGCGTGCGCGAGATGGCAAAGCCCCTTTGCACCGCCACCGCGACGCTAGGTGCCTTCCTGGGCGGGCGCCGGGCGGGCGCGCGTGAGAGGAAAGAGACCGCACGGCGTGTATGCATGATTGGCTGATCGCCTGCATGCTGACTCGCGCGCGCGAGCCTACACGCCGGGAAAGCAACGCATCGATCACGGGCAGCAGCTAGCGATGGGCGATGGAGACCGACCGGTGCGTGCCGATCCAACAACAATCTAGCTTAGGGAGTGGCAATATACACCATGTTCGCATAATCGTTTCTATGGCTTGTAAACCGGCTGATGCTGTTTTGTTGTGAAAGAAAAACATTTATCATGGCTGATAAACATGGCAGATACGATCAAGCGAACAGGGTGATAATTGGCTTCCACTCGAAGCATCGATTTCAGTTGAGGGGATCGACAGCTACAGTACATGATTATTATGTATACAGTTTTTTTTGGATGAGCACGTGCCATATATATACATTAGGCAGTTCCTCCTTAAAGTTTACTCCATATCCCATTAAATGTTTACACACGTGCATAAAGTATTAAATATAGACTAAAAAATAACTAATTTACGAGATGAATCTTTTAAGCCTAATTAGTCCATGATTTGACAATGTGGTGCTACAGTAACACATGTACTAATGATGGATTAATTAGGCTTAATAAATTCGTCTCGCGGATTACTGACGGATTCTGTAATTTGTATTTTTATTAGTATCCGAACACCATATGCGACACCCCATGTGATACCTGATGTGACACCCGAAAACTTTATATCCTGGATTTAAACAAACTAGCCTGAATGAGCGAGCAAAAAAACAAATGATCAATCCAAGGACCACTAACATATATGACACTTGCTATATTTTAAGTGCCTAAAATATAGTATGTTTTCAGGCCACGATCTTCACCGTTGACTCATAAACATGTAAGGCTGAGATTTAGCTGGATGTGGAGGAAAAATCAAGGCAGGAGTGTAGATACGGTATCGCCTGCTGACGATTAGGAAAAGTGAACATATATACCTAGGTGTATATGTACACGTAGGTACTTAGTATCTAATTGTAACATGGAATGGAAGCTATGGAGACATGCATGCATGTGTATGAGGTCCCATATGCATCGAGATGGAAAGAGGCATGTCCTGCCGTCCGGGTGGTACATCTATGTGCTGGTCAGTGACAAGAGAGTGTGGCTGTGCCAATGCCAATAATTGAAGGTGTTAGGCCATGCCGGTGTTGTTGTTGATTTGTAGGAAAAGGAGGTGGACGGAGCAGAGCACATGGGCGCTGCGCAGCGCGGCGGCCGTGGTGCGCGGTGCGTGTGTGTGGGTGTGGCGCCTGTACTTTGGTGGATCGGGCCCAGGGGGTCCGAGGAATGGAGCAGCTTGTCTCTACCCAGAGAGCCTTTGACGACCACTCGCTGAATGCTCAGCTGCTGGCTAGTCTGGTCAGTTGTTCCTAACTCCGTCAGGAGCTAGTAACATGTTCACCTGAGCATATGGTCAAAGTCTCTGCATGCTAGCTCCGAGTGCATGCATAAGTATGTAGGCATGCCAAGTATTTATTTTTTTTATTTTAAATTACAGGTCATTCTAATTTTTTTAGATACATAACTTTTAGTGTATATATATATCTAAACATAATGTATACGTAGACGCGTAACAAAAATTGTATACCTCGAAAAGATAAAACAACTTATAACTTTTTTACCCGAAGGAGCTAAATAATAGTGGTTTTATTTTTTTTCTCGAACATGCACAAGTCATGTACATCATTTCATTAGGGGGAGAGAGAGTGTTTTTACCCGACGTGTCGTTAAGGATAACAGTGAAACTAAATAGCATGAATGGATTGATCGATGCATGTCAGATTCTCTCGAGTTTCCGTGAGCACAGTGGGGAGAAAGAAAAACGCATGCGCCAAGACAGTTTCTGGTGGATGCGGCATCGCTGTCGCCCGTCGCGTTGGAATTTTCGGTCCTACCGCAACCCGCCACCGAAACGATCATATCCCACTGCACTGCGTGTGCCACCATCGTTATGATATGATCTGCTTTTTTTTTTGTTCTTGTTCTTGGCAAAAGAAGAAAAAAAAAGATGCCATTTCTTCCCTCCTCACTAATAGTAGTGGATATTTAGATACTATGGAACCCACTCGGTCGTCATCAGCTATATATTCATATTCGGTAGCTGAGCTCGATAGATAGATGGATAGATATCATGATTATGATTAGCTAGCATGCAAGCAGCGCCAAAATGCAAGCAAAGCATAGCCCCACCCATGTCCGTACGCATGGACGCATGCAACTACTGCTAGTATATGATGTGGTCAGCTTGCTATCGCTAATTAAACAAGGGATCAGATCCTAATCAATTGGTGTCGGCTGCCCCTGCTCATCACACAGGCAGCCAGGCAGGGCCCTACTCGCGCGCAAGCCGGCCGGGCGGCCGGCACCAGGCTTTTGTCTTATCTCCATGCAAGCCTCTGTCCATCTCCGATCCCACCGGAACGACCGAACGATCGAAGCGGCAGGTCATTTGGACCACCGGGTGCCCGGATCGCGCGTGTGTTCGTGCGTGCGTGGTTTCGTACGTGCGCATGCACGTATGTATACGCGTGTGCCCGGTCGAGCACTAATCTTCCACTACATACTAGCTAGGAGTATATACGTAGATGTGGCATGTGGGGGTACCTTGAGAAGACGCGGCCGCAGTCGCAGGAATGGCCGCGGGTGCCGCAGGTCTTGAGGTGGGCCTTGTAGTCGGACTGCACGGCGTAGCCCTTGGCGCAGCGGGCGCACACCCACTGCCGCCGCCCGCCGTGCTTGCGCCGGAAGTGCTTCTTGATGCCCACCAGGTCGCCCAGCGCGTGGGCGGGGTCGTGGTGGAGGCAGCTCGGCTCGGGGCACACGAACACGCGCTTCCGGGGCGCGCCGCCTCCACCGCCGCCGCCCGCCGTGCTGCTGTTAGCTCCACCACCGCCACCTGTAGCGCCGCCTGCTGCTGCACCGTCCTCGCCGCCAGCAGGAGGCGGCGCCCGCTTCACGAGCCGCCACGGCACCTTGTGCCGCCGCCGGTGCATCTGCAGGTTCTGCTCGCGCTGGAACCCCTGCCCGCAGATCTCGCACACGTACCGGTCCGACTCCAGCAGCGTCCGCGGCGACAGCGCCACCACCTCCGCATCGGGGTCTGTAGTACAGGGGCACACACAGACACATAGGAGTATATCTCATCAGCCATGCATACATACAGGGAGAGGCACACGGTGCACGCATTAGCAAAGTGCGCCCTGACGATAGATACACATCATGCATGCAAGATATGATCGATCGAGACGCGTCTAATAACGAATGAACGAGAATGAACGCACGTATAACGTACCCGGCGTGCCGGGAGGGCGCCTCTTGCGCTTGGCGGGGGACGGCTGCTGGTCGGTGAGGCAGGAGGAGGAGGGAGGAGGTGGCGGCTGCGCCGGCAGCGGCTGCCGCTGCTGTTGGGACGCCGAAGGGGACGACGAGGAGGTGGAGGAGGAGACCAACATTTGGTGGTGCCTCTTGACCAGTAGTGCCATGAGCGTTAGGGAGTTTGCTTCTTTTAATGGGCTTGAGGGCTGATGAGATGAGTGAATGCCCTGGCCAAGCAACAACCCAAGGTCACACACACTACCAGTACCAGGCCTTGCTTGGCTCCTTTCCCTCTCTTCGTTCTCTTTTTGCTCCTTAGTGGGATAGAGGTGCCAAGGGAGGCTTTATGGGGTGGAAAGCTCAAGGTGCGTATATCGTCGTGTTTGTGTGGAAAGGCTTTGGGGGCATGGGGGGATCATATATAGCTAGCTTGAGATAGAGGGGTGGTGAAAGAGAGAAAGAAAGGGCTTTGTCTATATCTCTTTGCTTTTGTGCCCTGCTGCATCGGTGTGGCCCCGGCCCCCTTTTTTGAAGGGGGAATGTGTCTCATATACTCATTGGATGGGCAGCTTTTATCAAGCCTTTGTTTGCTTGTTTTAATTAGGGCTTCTTTGCTGAGATCATATCGATGGATGGGATCATGAGATCGAGTACTATTCTCCCTATCTCGTCACACCAATTGATTATGGTGGTTAGCTTAATCTGTACATATCCTTTGCATCCATGTGTCCGTGATAACTGCCGGGTACCTAGCTATAGTGTCTACTACTAGTAGAACATTTTGTTTTCACCTTTTTAGTTCCTTCTTTCTTTTTTTTTGGGCAGACTACACTGTTTGGCTTGAGCTTATTCGAACTACTTTTCTTTTTCATATAGAACAGTATTTTTCTCTCACAACATTTCAGCATAAACATCAGCATAAGCCAAATTTCAGCATCAGCGAACAAGATAAATTGATTTAGGCACTGAGATAATGCAAACTTCTCTTCATGCTTGCATTGCATGTGGTCTTTATTTAGTGTTGTGTCGTTATATATACATATCTGCAGATAATGCAAAAAGGTTATGTTTTAAATATATATGCTAAATAATAGGAAAAATAATGACTTATATATGTTCAACCTTTATTTGATTGCCTTGACCAAATGGTAGAAAGCTAATTTTGCCAATGGATCACATGCATACTGTATAAACTATGCGCACGAACAGCTCAACCCTTATGACTTGTAGTGATTGCTTTGCCGAAAAAACATGGCACAGTACTATATACTAGTAGTAGTGACGAAGGAAGATTCTTCACACATGCATGCGATCATTTCGCCCAAGTGCCGGCCCCTTGTTAGCTTGATCCCTGACCCTGTTTTCCCTTCACGACTAAACTAAGGCACAATGAGATGGCATTGACATCTTTCTATACTCCCTCCATCGCACAAATGAAAGTTTATTTGCTGATCTCTTGGCTTTTCATTCCTCGCTCCTTTCGACTTTCTGCTAAGATGGCTGCATGTGTGTAGCTCATTAAGAAACAGTTTTGAGTAAGTTGCTCACACATGTCTTTTCTAATCGATCAGGCTAGCTGGGTCTTTACAATATTCATAAGCAGATGCCCTTTTGGCGAAGCTGTGTATTGTACGCATAGATTCGAAGAGGGAGAAAAGTGAGCTTCTTTTCCCGGAGGAACTAAACCATGGGGCGCCGGCGAACAGTCCATCTTCTTTTGAGCAGAATTTTACTTGCTTTGAACTGATCCCTCCCATCACAAAACAGTGACATTTTGGACATTAAAACGATTCCTCAAGACACAAGTTTGATCAATAACTTATAGTAATATGATACGTTGGCGGCAAATCATATATATATATATATATATATATATATATATATATATATATATATATATATATATATATATATACCAAATTCCACTATTATGAAAATGTTACGTGACACGAATCTGTGCATACCATTTGTAAATTATGTTCAAGCTCAATATACACAAGCAATCCATGATCAAAAGTTCAATATGGTACCACTATGCATGAGAGTTACTTTTTTGAGACAAATCTACCAATCTGTCGGGGACCTAATACCGGGTACCCTGAAAGGTGGAACCAATAACCACCGAACGTTAAAAACTTCTGGACGCATAAGAGCGTTGCTTCACCCCTCACGGGAATGACAGGAGCTTGGTTCCACCTCGCTCGACGCCTTTGGGGTGGGCTCGGTCTCGCCCGAGGGCCCAGGGCTAGTCTCCGTCTCGCCCGACGCCTTTAGGGCGGGCTCGGTCTCGCCCAGAGGGCTGAGGATGAACTCCGCCTCGCCCGACCCCGGGAGAGCGAGGTCGGTCTCGCCCGGAGAGAGGGATTGGTCTCCCCGCTTCGCCAGATGGCAAGAAACAAGCCTCACTCTGCTCCATATCTAAAGATTGGATTCATCTTACCTGACCACTTCTCCCTGTTCCTTCAAGATGATAGAGACAGGGCAAGACATGACGTTCAGGTCAACCGTGGTTTCAAGAGCCATACCACCGCACCTGGCGGAAAAAAATCTTGCCGGGGTGACGGACACGGCGCTTTAGGCCCTTCCAGTAGTAGAGAGCCCGAAAGGTGTCACAGTCTAGCTCTCCACCACAGAGAGTTGTAGGCGCCGCCTTTAGCTCTGGGACACGGAACCCGACGAAGATATCGACAACCACTACGCTCCGAAAAAAGGATTTGCTATCTCCACGAGCAGCGGATATTCCGTCACCACGCTGGGACCCAAGGGAGCGGTGCCCGCTTCCCCGACCCCTCGAGTCCACCAAGACGAAGACCTTAGCCCAGCTTACTCCAGACCCGACCCGCGTCCCTCCGGCGAAGACTCATAGGAACCGGAAGGCGTGCGGAGCAAAGGGTGGGGAGGCTCAAAAGTCAAAACCATCTCTGCGGCCCATACCTGCAAGTAGGTAGCATTCTCAGTAACCAACGACATTCTCTGAGGACATCGACAAGATTGTAGGCGCTTATCTTCCTTCGCACTCATCGAATGAAGAACCGGGCGGATAGACGGTGAGCCACAAGACTAAGTAGAGTACGCATCCTAAAGCCCTCACCCTTGTAAAGCCAGCCCCTTCATCTATAAAGGGGATGCGCTTCCTCCATAAAGGAGAGGAAAAAAGATCGAACGAGGCGACTCTCGATCACGCCTGAGTCAAGTTGTGTCGAACCTCTTAACATCCCTTCAACCCTTCCATCGAGAGACTTGGGACCAGTCCTCTCTCGATCGTTTGTACCCCTTCTCGCAAACCGTTCACGGTGCTAATAACACGACGACAACAAAGCGGGCGTAGGGACTTTCGGCTGAACCAAAGTATAAATCTTGTGTCCTTTAGCGCACCATCCGAGCCTAACGCGCATTACTATAAATTTACTTGCCGGTGCTTGTACGAAACACCGATAGTTGGTGCACCAGGTAGGGGGCTTGCGCGTTCCAAATTAGGCCTCGGATGGCCACCCACGCAATGACCTGGGTCCCGGGCGCACACGTGCGTTTCGGCGACCTAGATTTCATCATCACACTAGAAGGAGAGTTGGCGCTGACCCACTCTGCGGCCCCATCTCTCCCTTCCATCAACCTCAGCCGTCTTAGGCTTGAGGGCCCGCCGGGCAGCTCCCTGGGAGTCCGGTCACCCAGGGAGGTCTCGCACAACGTCACCCTCTGTCCAGAAGGTCCCGTACGGAGTGCCCCGACAACGTTTTCGTTCGGTCTCCGCAACGCTGCGGCGACCGCTAGCCACCTCCTGGCACTACGGATGGTTCAGTCACCCACGGACATTGAGTTCGTGGGGGCGATTGAACATGATACGGAGACCCTTTACGGGCTCCTCAACGAGGAGCCAGGATCGTTCTCTAGCTCGGATTCCAGTAGGGGGAGCCATCACCCTTCCCGGGAGTGCTTCATGACGCAGACCCCCGAAGGTCATGTCGAAAGCGCCTCCAGGGAAGAGGTCACCCCTACAAACAACCCTGACAGCAGATCCGGGGAAGAGACGACAATCCCATCTCGCCTAAAGATGGAGTAGCTAAAGGCCCGTCAGCAAGAGATCGATGAGGCCGGGCAAGGGCTCGTCCGGGAGTACGCGGACATCAATCGCGAGATTGAGCGCCCGCGAGGCGGCGCGCTAGCAGCGCACGCGGCCGCGTCAGCGTACACCAAAGGATCCTCACCGATGATGGGATCCTTCCTCACTTCGCCCGAGCCAGCCAGAACATCACCGCAGCAACCGCCTTACTGCATGGCCTCCCGGAGGCCACGACGGCCGAAGATCACCGGGCCCACAGGGAGATTCGCACGTTGCTTGAGCGCGCGGCGGCGCAGCAGGCGGAAAGTTCGTTGTCTCGACGACGCGAATCCAACACCAGCCAGCGCGCGCCCTCGGTGCGTCCCACCAAGGACGCATCCGTACACCAAACACCGACAGCCGGTGGGCAGCCCTCCATCGTCCCAGTACATCAACGCCTCGGCCATGGCCGCGATGTACGCAGCAGCATCAACGCTCGGAGACGCGCCCACAGCGACGATGGAGAAGCAGCATGCCGTGGCTATCATCCCCGACGTGGTGAGCGCTACGACAGCAACAAGGACCGAAGCCCGAGCCTCGGCCTACCAGGCCCTCAGGCCTTCGCCCGACACATCCTCAACGCTGCGTTCCCCCTAAGGTATCGACCGCCTACCAACATCCCTAAATATTCTGGCGAAACAAATCCCGGGCTTTGGCTCGAAGACTATCGGCTTGCATGTCAGGCCGGTGGTGCGAGTGATGACAACTTCATTATTCGCAATCTCCCATTTATTCTTGGCCGATTCGGCGCGAGCATGGCTGGAGCACCTACCGTCCAATGCTATTCAGAGTTGGGCGGATCTGACGGAGATCTTCGTGGGTAACTTCCAGGGCACGTACAAACGCCCTGGAAACCCATGGGACCTCAAAAACTACCGCCAGAAGGCCAATGAAACCCTTCGCGGGTACATTCGGTGCTTCTCTCGACAGTGCAACGAGCTCCCGAACGTCGCCGACGCCGACGTGATAGGAGCCTTTCTGTCCGGGACGACCTGCGAATCCCTGGTCCACAAGCTAGGACGCAGGGGCCTGCGGACTACCAAGGAACTCCTGGACATCGCCACCAGT